AAAAAAAGGCCGGGGCACGGTTGCCCCCAGACGGCAGGTGCAGCTGCCAGGCCCTCGCCAAAGCGCTGATCTCAAAGCCAATAAATTCGAATCCTCTAACGACGACACATCAGCATTTTCTTGAGAATGCTTCTCTAATAATATATAGGGGATGTTTGATCATTTCAGTTTGTAGAAGAAATGTTTTTTTTTTTTTGGTCTGTAACAGATAGGAGAGAGGGGTCGGGTATTTTTCGGCGAAGGGTGAGGATGGCCAATGGAAAAGTCAAAGTTTAAATGTTGTACTAAGTTAAAATTCTTAGAAAATAGAATCACCACAAGTTTTGATAAAGTTTAAATGCTCTATTATTTATGGTCTAAAGTAGTTTTAAGGGAAAAGTGCATGTAATGTAAACAAAGTTTTTTTGATTGATTTATATTCATAATAAAAAAAAGAACTAGATAGTAACCCGCAGTGTACCGCGGGATAATTTTGGCGTTTACGGTTTATAAGTTTAGACGTCTTTTTTTATTTGATATTAGGTAAATTAGTGTATAGTTTAGTATATGATTTCCCATTAGCATGTTATGTTAGTATATTGTATTTGTCTTAGAGATTATAAATAATTTGTTTTGGGTTCTACAGATTTATATAAAAATATATGATAATGTTATACTTTTTGTTGTGATTTGTTATATAATTCCATGAGAGAATATAATTATTGTTTTTATTTTCAAAAAGTTATTATAAAACTGTATATCATTTTCATAAGATTAGTAATTTATATAAATAAATTATGTAAATCATTCAATTTTTGTTGTAGGCCAAAAAAGGTTGAGCTGCTAATAACAATTTGGAACAGCAAATATTGACGAAGCCCATTTGATTTATGAGTTATTTACCTTCAAACACACTTTTTCAAAAGTGTTTTCAATATGAGACACTTTGTGATATCAACCCACTTTCTTTTGGAGTCTTTTACTCTTTTACCCTCTAATCATATTCTTTACTCTAATATTCTTCATCCTCTCTTCTCACATTCATTTCTTTTGTTTCTCTCTCCCCGTATCCTCTCATTCTTTATCCCTCTCTTCCCTTTTCTCTTTCTTTCCAAATTCTAATCCATCAATTTAATTTCAGATTCGCTTTTCTTTTTTTAACTGTGTTTTTTACATCCAAGAATGGAAAAAAAGAAAATTCTCCACTTCCTCTAAATTTGGTCTTTCTGATTGTGGAACTTGTGGTCGTGTGTGTGTTTATCTACTAGTCTTTCATCGATTTGATCTTTGAAATCAGACGTGGATAGAGGCCCTAATCCCATATGTCTCCCTTCTCATGAGCAATCCATCTCCAGATTCATATAACTATATTTCTCTATCTCTTAATTTTCGATATAATTCTTTTGGAACCTTAATTCATTGTTTTCTTTTCTAAACTAGAGTTTGGTAGAATGAGTAATGTGAAATTTTGTGGTTTTTGGGTGTTTTGCTGTTGTAGTTTCAATTCAAATTCAATCTTTTTGGGTCCAAATGTGTCTAACTAAATGAATCAGTCCATTTGTGAACGAAACAATCAAGTAATGCTCGTTGATTTGATGAAGAGTCAAAAAGTGAATTTGGTGAGATTAGATCAGTTATTTAGAACTTTCTTGTGTCCATTTAGCAGCGAACACATGTACGAAGCAAAGTCGTCCATCTCAACTGGAACATCTACGTGAATTGTTGAGAGTCACGACTTTTAAAAGTTGAAGTTTCATGGTCGGATTGATTGGCTTGCAGGTTTTGAATCAAGATTGTTGACGAAGATTTTGTGTCCATTTAGTAGCGAACAAGGAGTTAAAGTAAGTCGATTTGCAATGGATGCGATACCGTGGTTGAGATGCGGTGGCTACGATGCGGTGACTATGACGCGGTGGTTACGATGCAACTTCAAACACAATAGTTGCAAACAGAGACTTTGTGTTGACGATTATCTTTCATATATAAAGTTGTGAATTGATATAAAAATCATGTGTATGATTATAAAAGGATGAAAAAAATTATGTGTGATAATATAGGATTTAGGGTTTAGGTTTTAGTATGCTGAAGTTTCACTTACCCTTAGAGAAAATCAATCAAATAGTAAAATGGTCAAATGGTCGTGGACATTGTATATAAAAACTTGAGATATATTAATGTTAACCATGTGTTCAATGTTGAATGGTTAGATAAACAAAAAAATATGTCTAATAATAAAATATGAACAATAGACATTTGATCAGAGTTTAACGGATGTATAGTTTATCGAGAAACTTTAGTCTTATTCATCTATGTGATCAGAGTTTAGCTGATATGTTTGGATGATCGGTAGTTATAAATGTTGGTGTAATATGTTTGTTCAAATATCTATAGATATTGTCTGTTTGGATGAGTTTGTATGTGTGTCTGTTTACAAAAACAGAATTCATATGTTCAAATGTTCGAAGGCGTTTTATATTATGCTTGAGATAAATTAATGTTAACCATGTGTTCAGTGTTGGATGGTCATATAAACGAAAAAAGCATATCTATGAAAAACAGACTTGTTCAGAGTTTTGCGGATGTATAGTCCATCGAGAAACCTTATCTTCATTAATCTATGTGGTCAGAGTTTAGCAGATATGTTTGGATGATCGAAGTTAAAAATATTGATGTAATATGTTTTTTTGGTGAGTTTGATGTAGTATGTTTGTTCAAGGATCAATTGATATCCACTTAATAAAAAATAAATGGTCAATTAGAAATGGATAATATATAATATAGTTATTTATTTAAAATATAGCAAAATGGATCTTAAAATGTATGAAAAGTTAAATCTTAGTCTATTGTATAAAGAAATATATAATATGTGTGATACAAAATAACTAAAGTAATAATAAATAAAGAGAGAATGAGAGAAAAAAAAAGAGAGAGAGAGAAAGAAAAGTGACGAGAAGGGAAAAAAAAAGAAAAGAATTATACTAATGTTTATGTGTCCACGTTTTTGTTTGCACATATGCTGTATTTTAAGGGTATTTTGGTATTGATATAAAATTAACAGTGTAAAAATCTTGAAAAACTGAGAAAGTGTCTGTTTTGAAACGAAACTCACAAAAAGTATGCCAAAGTGTAAGTCACCCTTGATTTATTCCGCCCATACGTAAACCGTTACCAACAAACACAGCCAAAACCAACTTGTCTTCTTCGACAGAGAAAAAGGGATTTCGAGTTTATGACGTAAAAATTATTTTATGAATCGAAAGTTGTATGAAATCATCTATTGCAATTGTATGTCAGCCGATTCATCACCCAGCAGATAAAAAGTCCAGGTAATTTGATTACTTGATTCCCGATAAATGAACACAATTACTTTCATTGTGAGCTCCTCTAATAGTTTCCAATTTGTTTGTGAGGAACTTGGGTAAAATCTAACCGTGAGGAGATGTGTATGAGACGATCCTCTAGTATTAGTAACTCAGTATTTTTAGGAGCAAAATTTCGATGATGACTGTGTTGATTTTTAGATCTGCCGCTTTTTACTTTTACAGACCATATGCAATGGTGGTTCTTTGGCCCGTCCCACATGATTTAATTTTAAAAATTAAATCAAAAAAAACAAAAAAAACTGGAGGACGACTCTTTAAACTTCTCTATTTGTGGGCCCCACTGACATGTGGCGGCCAGCGATTGGTTATCTTTTTTTTTTAATTCTAAAAATATTAATAAAAAAACTACCTAAGGACAATTTGGTGTCCTTCACCATTGCATATGGTCTTACTTCCTTAAAATTTCTTTTACAGTAAAAGCATCATACTTATACTACTTCTTACGTTGTCCTACTTACTTAATTGTCTCATTTTAGCAACACAAAATAACCCATATACAATTGGGCTTTAATTAGCTTTTTGCCCAATGGCCTATTTCCTCTTCCTCGTTCCTTGTTGACGTTTCTTCCTTTTCCTTCCACCAACGCTTCTCTTCATTCTTCTTCACTCTTGCTTGAGAATCTCTTTGCTCTCGATCATCTTCTCATCTTTCTCCTCTGATATCTCTTGTACCAAATCAACCAAAAGATCAACTTCCAACACTCCCTCTTGATTCTTTTGATTGATTTCCAAATTTTCCAAATTCCACTCTAGGGATTCGATCCCCATAACTCTCTGATGTTCTCCTGTGACTTCCTTCTGCCATGGATACATTCCTTTCACGACCTCTGCATAACTCACATGTAATTTCTCTTTCTCCCTCATAGTTCCAAATTCTACCAACCTATTGAGTTTTGGCAAGATCGTAGCTTCCTCTGATTTGATTCCCATCTCGGAATTTTTTTGCTTTTCATTAATCTTGACAGGAATCTGAGATTGCTTCTTCTGCTGATACTTCTACACATAACCCAAGTCACAGATCTCGTTTTCGGCAAATCCCTGTTTGTTCCTTGTCTTTTTCTCCCTCATGCTCTTGTTCTTTAGAATTCGATCTGCCTCTTGGTTCTTCTCCCTCACTTTCCCTTCAGTAAGTTTCTCATCTGCTCTCTTCTGTTTCCCTTTTGTCATGGAGCTTCATGGATTCATGATGTAAAATATTGGAAGCTCGCCTATCTTGGAATGTAATAAGATTGAAAATTTGAGATAGGTAACAATAAAATACCTTCCTTTAAGTTTCTGAGTTGTAAATCTTGCATAGTTTTATTTAAAGTGATTGACAAAATTGCAAACCAATTTCTGTTCCGATGAGAAACAAATTCACTTTAACTAAAAACAGAAAAACATTAACTAATAAACATTTTAAAAAACACAACCATAGTCATTATGGGGAAGACATTTTCCTACATACTAACGAAAAATTGATCTAATAGCAGAAGTTATTAGATTTTATAGTAGAGATTTAAGAGGTCATATGTTCGATCTTCGTTGTGAGTGGTGTGTTCTCCTTAATTTAACATGGTATTGGTTCCGTCGTTGTACGAACCTACAGACGTCACTGTCCTCGTCCTTGTCGTGGGGGTTTGGCAGACTACTGTTACTTGTCGTGGACAGTGACGTCTGTAGGTTCGTTGGTTTACGCCCATATTGTATTTGGGTTTAGTATGTAGGAAAATGTAATAACTTGACACTTGGATTTAAGAGGTCATATGACACGTGTCGCGATCTCTTGAGTTACTAACTTCGAAAACCCAACTTTATATAATAAGATGCAATATGCAATCGATTTAGTAATGTTGGTTAAGTACTTGTACCGGTTTGTGGTCCAATATACTATGTAAGGAAAACTTTTCCCTTTTCAGCATAATAATCAAACTAGATAGTGACCTGCGGTGCACCGCGGGGTAATTTTGGCTTTACGGTTTATAAGTTTAGACTAAACTTATTTAAACCCAAATCAAATTTATTTTTAACTAAAAGTACTAACCCTAGAGCACACTTAGCCAAAATTCAGAGACTCTCGCCTCCTTCTTTCTCTCGCCGAAACAACAATTTCCAGAAGGTTTCCAGCTCTAGATCCTTTCAGTCCTCTGAAGCTAAAAAGGTTTGTCAATTTTTGTTTGAATTTCGTTGTTCCATAGCTTAAAATGTTGTTTTGTAGCGAGAAATTGAGCTTGTCAAAAAAAATTAGGTAGGGATGTTGAGAAATTGAGTAGCTGTGTGCTTACTCTTGGGATAGTTAAATTGTTCAACTCTTTGCTTATGTTCTTGATATGTTATCTCTTCTTCAGGTACTGTAAAGAATGGCCAATCGACATGGCGACGTCATTGCTCATGTGAAACGTAACAATGTACTTGTGGACGTGCACCATGGGTCCAACGGGTATTTCCTGATGATGAAAAACGGCCGAGTTCTTACACGAGCACGGTGGCCAAAGGTATGCTCCTATTTTCTGTTAAACATAGAACTTTACTTATATGGTTTATGTTTTCTATTTGCAGAACACTGATCCAAACCATCTTTGGTTGGACATCGAAAACTGTGATGTCCCAAAGGATCTACAGCCAGAACTGCGGTACCACAGGATCAAGTTGGAAGACCGCAACTACACAGGACCGCTCACCATCACTGCTATTTTTGCCAATACTACAGAGCACATATCTCTAGATATGCTTGCAAAGCTGCCGGCAGATATCAGAACTGTGGATATGGGATTGTGTAAGTAGCTTCTCATCTTATATAAAAATATTTTTACTGATTTAAGAGTTTTGTCTCATTTCAGATAATGCATCTAAAGAATAACTAAAAAGATGATGCTGACCGTGCAATCGAAAAGGAGATAGAAGCGTTTTCGAATAACCCTGTGAACGATCCTGCTCGCAACGTGATGGTTATGAGCGGAGACAAGATCTTTGTTAAGACACTGCGGGACCTCAAGGGAAAAGGCTACAGGACCTTAGCTGCATTCAGGGTGTCTAGCGACGAGGAGGAGCTCAATGCCCAAGTTTGGGACTCTTGGGTTTTCAGGCAACTTCTAAACCTTCCTTGGACTGTTGGGGAAAAGCCTAGGGAGGAGCAGGACAGGAAAAGGAAGAGATCATCAAGTTCAGCGGTTCTGCAACACTACTGCCGTGTGTCTAACGAAAAGAAACTTCCTGCTTTGGTTAGCTTCCTGAAGAAGTCCCCAGACCAAAAGGTGGTCATTTTTTTCTCCAGTTGCAGCTCTGTAGAATATCATTATGAAATGATGAGAGCTTTGGATAACGATCTGCGTTGCTTGCGAATCCACGGGAATCTGGAGTTGGAGAACAATCTTCAGGCATTTTCAGAGTTCAAGATAAATGGAGGAGGTATTTTCTTGCTCTGCAGTGATGCTGTGGCACTTGGTCCTCACATTCAAGGAGTGGTAAGTTTGTGCTCTATAAAATAAATGTTCAAATAGTTCTGAGATAACATTTACCATATTTGAATTTCAGGACTGGATTGTGAGGTTTGATACGCCTCTCAAACTAGGGCATTACCTTTTGATACACCAAAAAATAATTAAAAAACCAAAAACCAA